AACAGTTTCAGTGTGAACTCGGAGCAGAGAACAACAAAGCCAGACTGAGTTTGACTTTGTAAATGTTTGACTCTGTTGTCAGGAAGTCATTACTCGATGTAAGGTTTGAACGAGATCATGTAACAAAGAAGCAGAGGTCAGTTTTCAAAGGGTTAAACTTTTTTTAAAACCTGCAGCTCTGTTGCATATTTTTAGAACGTCATCAGTCTCGTGTTTCTGTGCAGCGATAAGCTCGTCTGCCTCCTGATCCACAGATTGACTGCTGCCTGTTTCAGCTGCTCTGATAACGAATCACCGTCTGACTGACAGCGGTTTATTGACCTGAGAGACAGAGAGGCGGCTTGGCCGGAGACACACACACACACACACACACACACACACACACACACACACACACACACACACACACACACACACACACACACACACACGAACACAAAGCTGCTCTAATTACAACCAGTGTCATGATGCATTCTGGGTCGTCTCTCGGCGTGACAGCCATGAATCGGCTTGTTAAATGTTTGAGATTGATAATTACAGCTGAGTCATCAGTCCTGTTCTCGTATTCGATTGTTGCTCGTGTGAGGAGGTGCTTGTGATTGCTTTTCGGAGGTTTGTTTTTGTATTGATGGAACCATCAGGGTGCCGAAATGTCCGAAACACCTGAGGTCACACTTTCTTCAGACGCTGTTCTTATATATAACGTAAACAAGAGAACACAAGTTGACTTCTTTGTTACAGATATTTAAGGTTGTATCACTACTCTCACGGGATTAGAATCATCCGGGATGTCATTGAGGAATAAAGGGAACTTTGGGGGGATGTGGTGTGCGCTATACTCACCACAGTGGGGCCCAAAAAGCAACAGCACACGTTGCTAGGTGACTGAAACAATAGTCCAGAAAATAACTACTTTTTGTCTGTATGTGTCCACTCTTCAGTGGAAAGCTCTGACCTTTCTTCTGCTGAGGAGGAGGAGACGAGCAGCAGAAGAAGAAGGGTGTGTGTTCCTCGGGGCAAGGTGTGAGATCCTTGGGGCACGACGGGACTGCCAGACATTTCTTTAAAATCTATAGCTCTCTCTCTCCGATATCCCGGTAAAGATCTCATGTGGTTAAAATATGATAATCGACATGAATAAATACATAGTGAGGATGTTGGAGCAGTGACTCTGTGAATATTCATCTCCTGAATGTTATCTTGAGCCTGTGAAGTTCTTAAAAACGTGTTAGCTTTGATAAATGATGTTGAATCAACACTCAGCAGCAGGTTAAACAAACTACAGAATCCTCCGCAGGACACACTCGACCAGAAATCACTGCTGCCAGTTTTCCCACCACGTAGTCCTTAAAGGACAAAAAAACACTTTCACACAGTCCTTTTGATTTCACTGAATCCTGAACCTTTGAAATCTTGTGTTTGAACTGCGAGTGTTGAAATGGAACTAAAGTGGATTTTCCACCACCTGAAGAGAGAAGTGCTGCTAAAAGGGAAATATTCGTGTTACCTAAACACGGTCCAAAAAGCATCATGGAGGAATTTAAACAAACACTCACAAAAAAAGTGCTTGCTTGATATTTTTTGTACAGAATACTCTTTGCCAGCAGCTCGTATAAATCATTTGATTTTGTTTGTAGCTCATTGTTTTATTTAAGAAAAAAATACTTTCTCACAAATAGTCTACTGTATGAGCTCCCATGTGCTAACTTGATCTTTTGTTTTAAAGGGGACATTTCATGAAAAATCCACTCTTACAGTGTTTTTGAACATATATTTGGGTAACCTGAGTTTCCACCGACCCACAAAATGTGAAATAAACCCTCCAGTCCTTTGTTTGTGGTCTGCACAAATAAAGAGAAAAATGCTCCGTTTCAAATTTGCTCTCTTTGTGATGTCACAGTGGGATTCTGGTTAAAAAAATACCCTCCCCTCTCCTGGTATCTCCACACATGGATCTCCAGCCTAGAACAAAACTTTTGCACAGGTCTGCCATTTTTATTCCTGCTACAGAGGAGTGACGTCTACAGGGAAAACTCAGAGGGGGCTCATTGCATTTAAAGAGACACACACACCAAAACGGAGCGTTCTGAGAGAGCTGGTTTATACAGGGTCACAAACCTCCTCTGGTGCTTGATTCATGTTATATTCTGACCAAAGCACAGCACAGATGTTTCATTTAGACCACAGGGGACTGATTGGAAAGGTGGAAAAGTGGGATAATATGTCTTCTTTCTTGAGTCAGAAATCAGAAATCAGTCAGAAATCAGGGACAGAGAGAGTGTGGGGAAACACATACAGGAAAGGAGCCTCACTGTGTACACAATATAAATGTGTCACAATATAAAAATGTGCTGCTTCTTTCAATACATATCGCATCGTATTTCAATGTATCGTATATGAGTATTTGGATGTTTTCATGGGTCACTTGCTCATAGAATTGATCATATTAGAAATCACAAACAGTAAAAATGTATTATGGGAAGATTTTCAGATGAAAAAAAAGTGTGAACAACAACAGAACAGTGACTGAAAAGAAACGAGTCTGAGAGGAGGGAATGAAACGTTTGAACTTCAAGTGTTACTTTTTTACATTTCATGTTAAATGATTAACCCCTGATGTGTCACATATGATACAAGACAAAACCTCAGACACACAATTTGTTATTCCATTTATTTCTAGAAGGTTTAATAACGACTCCAGATTCAAAGAGTTATTTGAGTTATTTTGATAGTTTGTGCTTCGCAGGGTTAAAAAACAAAATCCAAATCTACACGATATTAGCTGAAAATCAAGAATAAAGTTGGACTTTTTCTTTAACTGCGTAATTTAAATTAGACTCTATTGAGATGAAACGTATTTCTTAAGCACATCATCGTGTCATGTCTGCTCGCTGCTGAGTCGTATCTTCAGGGTTAAAATGTGACCTCTGTCATTTTCACTGTGACTCCACTAATCAGACATGGAAGACATGAGAGAGTGTGTGTGTGTGTGTGTGTGCAGCAGTCAGCTGTTAATAATGGAAGAGTGAAAGGTGAGCCATTACACATCACCAGACCACCCGGTTGCCATGGCAGCCTGCACCATGTAATTGCTCGCCGCTTTTACTGAAGCCCCGTGTGATAAAAGCAACAGGGGATTTCAACTCAGGGCCATCAGGGTGGAGAGATGAACGGGAAGAAAAAAAAACCTTATCTGCTGCGAGGAGAGAGCTGAACTTTTTACTTCCTTCCCTTTAAGTCGCAGCTTTTATGGGAGTTAATCTTCCTCTGCAGGGCGCGACGAGGATGAGGAGGAAGAGGTGCTGATAGCAGAGCGAGACTCAGGCCGAGACGAGAATCCAGTCACAGAGACGCTCCCTGATCCAGTTTCTGCCGACTTTATTTGCATTTTACAAATGATTCAACGTGGGACAGACACAAGGAAGAAGAAGAAATGGAAATGCAGAGCGTGTGAACGACAAAGGGAAGCCTCGGGGGGCTCTTAAGACAAACAAAGCAAAGAGATCGCATGAGAGGAATCAAGATGGCAAACAGACAGCGGTGGGAGGTGAGAGAGCAAACAAAACGACGAGAAAACACCAGGGAGAGTGAGATACAAACACGACCAAACAGAGGAGGAGGAGGGCTTAAAAATAGAGGCGATGAAGAGGAGGAGCGTGTTTATCTGTTAACACGTTTACACAGGAGAGAGAGAGAGAAGATGTAATACAGAGGGAAAGATATGGTGTTTGTTTTTCTAGACAGGAGGATTCTGGGTAAATTACAATACGTCGTGCATCAAGTAGAATTCCTATTCATTATTTTCAAATTACACACCACCAACAAGGTTTAAGTCAAGACATGCATGTCACAACGGAGCACAAATTAAAAAGCACTGAGTTACCACCAAGTCCCAGGCCAAGACAAACAACTGTGAGTACCAGATCCAGACCAACAAGTCCAGAGTCAAGACCAATATGTCGCAAGACCGGGAGTAAGTCAAAAGGAAAAAGTTAAAATAACAGACAAACAAGACCAAGAACTTTGTGTAATATGCCAAGTTTATTTTGAAGTTCCAGTCAAAGAAATCCTTACCAAGTCCCAATTCAACACGTCCCGATATTGTGTGTCCCAAAACAAGCCTTGGCACAAGAACTACAAGGCCTTAAGAAAGAACTACATATCCCAAATTACCAAACTAGTCCCTCTCAAGTCCCAAGTCCAATGTCAAGACATTCAACTGTGGGTACCAACTCCACACCGACAAGTCCCAAGTCATGACCAATACGTCCAAATCAGGGCCAAAGTCAAGAACAACCTGCCCCAAGTTTAGAAAATTATGTCCCAATTCAAGTCCTGACACAAGACCAACAAGGCCTAAGTCAGAGCCAATACTGTATGTCCCACCTCAGTGTCAAGACGAGAGCAACAAGTCCCTGTCAAATCCCAAGGGTCCCTGGTGTGGATATACAACTTTGGGTACCAGATTCAGACTATTATGTCCCAATTCATGGCCATCGTTCCAGCAAAGTTCCAATAGAATATAAACGAGTCCAGATGCAGACCGACAATCCCCTTACAAAAGGCTAACAAGTCTTTATCCTAGAATAGTATGGTCCAACCGAGTGCCAAGACAAGAGCAACAAGGTCCCGCAAAGTCTCAAGTCAAAATCAACATGTTGAGACCAGTATTTTCCAATTCCAGAAACCTAGCCACATATCAGGACCAAACAATTCCTAGTAATATCCCAAGTCAACCCATGAAGTCTTCGCTATCTATTGGTCTCCAAGTTTAAGTTCCAGACCTACAAATCCTAACCAAGTCCCAAGTCAGGACCAATATGTTCACATTAAAGGACCGAGCTGTACCAGCAAGTTTGAATTTAAGACAAACAAGTCCAGAGCCAAACCAAAAAGTCTCAAGTTGAGGTTTTTATGTTCCAATTTAAGTCCTGACACAAGAGACAAGCCTGAGGTGAGGCTTAGGTTTATCTTCAGACAGACATGGCGACTCTACTCACCCATGCGGACGGCAGAGAGGGTGTTGGCCTGGCTGAAGGAGAGCGGTGCCATGGTCAGCAGCAGGACGACGACGTAAATCGACAGCAGCAGTGCTGGCAGAGCCGGCATCTTCCACTGCTCCTCATGGAGAATGGTCTGCTGGCCGCCTGTACCGCCACCTGCAGGACAGAAGGAATCATTACCACCACAATGATAATATATCAAATGGTTACATCTCACTTATAACACAGTCCTGATGTTTTAAATGACCTATTTTTTAACAGCTGCCACATGCTTTAAATTGTCCTTTTCCCCCTTTAGAAACATTATAATGAGACATTCAAATCTGAACATGCAGCAGCTTGACAGCTTCTCATTTAACACATTATATTCAAACAGTATCTGTCGCTATGAAGCATCACTCATAACGAGCTCCGCAGCATGTTGACATTTATGCATCTCTGCAGAAAGCGGAGCATCGACCTTGTTATCCAAATCTCATACATTAGATTCGTTAGCACAGACTCATCATCCACTCTGTCAAAACAAGACTCAATTTGAAGACGAACCGCAGCTTTTAAACGCAGCTGCCAGAAAGAATGTGAAAAACTCGAGAAACATTAGCTTGCGCTTCTTTAAAGGGGACATAGTCTGAAAAATCCACTTTTAGTGTTTTTGAACACATATTTGGGTAACCTGAGTGTCTACTGACCCACTAAATGTGAAATAAACCCATTCAGTCCTTTGTTTGTGGTCTGCATAAGTCTTACAACTGTCCTTGTGATGTCACAGTGGGATTCTGGTAAAAAAAAATCCCCTCCCCTCCCCCTGTATCTCCACCCATGGACTCCACCCCCAGACTAGAACAAAACTTTTGCACAGGTCCGCAATTTTTATACTCGCAACAAAGGAGTGATGTCTACTGGGAAAACTCAGGGGTGGCTCATTGCATTTAAAGAGACACACACACCAAAACTGAGCATTCTGAGACAACCCAGTTTTGAGTATGACATATTTTTGTCTCCTCATGCGCGCTTTGTTATTACTGACTCTGCTGCCTGTACTGCCACCTGGAGGACAGGAGGACAGGAGGACAATTTACCCACTTTAAGAATACCACAGGGGCGCCAACAGCCAGCCTTCAAATCCGACCTCGGCCCTTTGGTGCGTGTCGTCCCCTTCTCTCTCCTCCCAACATCTCCCGTCTCTCTTCAGCCATTAAAGACAAAAATGCCCAGAACAAATCTTTAAAAGAAGAATACCACAAATTAAAGTCCCCATGAAACAGAACTTCCAGAGTATTGAACCGCCGTGTTTTGACGTATTTGTTTTCAGCAGAAACTAAAAAGAACCAATCACAAGCTAGAAGGCGGGACATAATGTTGGAATGAATATAAATGGATCGTTACTTAAAGCCGTCATCACGTCTTTGTGCATTCATAGTGACGTCCACGACAGCGTAATATTGGTGTCCCAGTCTGTGAAGTCTGCGGTTGCAGAAGCACAGCACAGCAGGAGCTTCACATACACACAGTCTGACATGCACACACACACAGCGCTACGCTCCCCCGCTGGCTCAACTTGTGTAAATCAGTGTACTTCTAGATACAACAGAAAACTCAAAAGTAGTTGGTCTTTTTGATTCTCTGATTTTTCTTTAATTTTCAAAATCCAAAACGAAAAACACCAACCAGAATTTACATTTTTAGAGACTTCAAATCCATTATCACCCCTCCGCTGTCTCGCCTCTGTAAAGCCTCTGTTACTACCATCTAAGACAGTATAGAGAGGGGATCACTACGTCCCCCCATTACACATCCATGACAGTCAGATTGAAGGATAAATGTCACAGAGTTGTAAACAACGCAGCTTCAAATGGCGGTCTGAACAGGACTTTAGTCTTACAATCCTGCCTCTCATCATATCTTTGATATGTTTACTTCTTTGATCAGATAGAAAGTTTAAAATCATGATCTTTACAATTTTAAGAATTAATTCAAGATGATTTCTTGTGTGTACATGCTCAATGTTAAACTAACTTATATTTAAAGTCGGTCCAGACCAGCATCTCGTTCACAGAGGCTGTCATTAGTTTCACACAGTTTTTTAATCATGTTTTTAATGAGGCCTCGTCTCAGGTCCGTGGCATGTATGGACTGTCCTTGTCTGACTCCACCGCTGAGGCATCATTATCATACTTATTAGTACTTCACTGACCTCATGTAATCATCAAAAATACGTCTGCCTGACTCCAGGAACTAAAAATGGAAACGCATGCACAGAAGGTCCAGAGGGAGAACAAAGTGAATCACACATGACGGCTCTTATTAACTCGTGGTTCTTTTTCTATTTTTTTTTTACCTCAGACGACTTTGAGATGATCTGACAGTGAGCAGGTCAAATTCACAGGCCAACGCGAGATCATCTACAAATCAGGCAGTGACACTCTTCATGGGAAAACTGGCCATCCGTGTACATGTTCATTCCCAATGGTGACTGTATGGTTCTTTTAGAAGAAGAAATCAAAGATGTGGAGAACAAACCAGGTGTCCTTCAGGGGCAGTCAAAGTCGCTACCTGTAGAATATCAACCTGCACTTAACTTCAAACTGTAATTCCTCTCACACATTGGCTTTCTTTCACAGTTAAGTAGATTTTACTTTTTGAGTGCAGGATGTTTCACCTGTTTCATGAGATGGTTGAATGTGTACTAGTCGCACTTTGTGTTGTGGGACGCCTTCAAACCGCAAGTTAGCTTGTTAGCCTAGCCTACCAACAAAATGAATTGCAGCAGTGAGGTCAAACATATCATCAATATTTAGAAACATGAGCTTGTCTGTCAAATGTTTGACACCCCTCACAAAAATACAGACGTTAGCAAACTAGTGAATCTGCTTAAACGAGAGGGGCTTTCAATACTCTGCCGGTGTTACACTTTAAAGCGTGACCCTCTGAGGACTTTCGGCTGAATGCCTCTGAGTTCATTGATAGCTGTTGAAAACTTAAAAGTCTTTGCAAATGCTTCATTGGTTAATTTATTTTTAAACAAAGTCATAATAATGAAAATGTAGCAACGTGAGTACTCTTGCTGTTTTCATGCAGCCGAAGGTCGCCAGTTAACATGGTCACACTTTAAACCGTAACACCTGTTAGCAGTGTCGGCAGAGAAACTCCTGCAGCAACGTGTGGAGGTTTAGGACCAGCTTCTTAAGGGTGGAGGTTCTAGTGTTGAATAGGACAAATTCTCCTGCTTCAATGAGCCAGATATAAACTCTCTGAAATAAACAAGTCGTTGAACCAGTCGAGTCCTGAGATGCTCTGCTGACGTTGAACTGGAAGGAGACGGTGAGTGATGTTAGCATATCGCTGTTTTATTGCTAATTATCAGCTGTAATGGAAATGTCCTATCACTACATATTACCACCACTACTACTGGAGTGAGAGAAGTCATCCAGTTATTTGTTGCAGTTTCTGAGTTGACTGCATTCTCTATTTAAACAAATCGCTTCAGGGTCCGATTTGAAGCAAGCCGTGTCCTCATCTACTCGGCCCACTTGATTTGTTCCACATCAGAATGCGATTTCTGTGTCCACATTTGTGCAAACAAACGCCCCCCTGTTTCGTAAGAACTCCTCCAAACAATGCAGGTGTGAAAAGACCCTCAGATTGCTTTGTTTCCTAATTGCTACTGGCTGTTTAGAAACTAATGGCTGCACAGATGTTGGCTGTGATCAACACTTTTGTTATTTTCTCATTAAAAGAGGACAAAGAAGAAGCGATTCAGCAGTTTCACTCAGAGAGGACAAAGATCTTGATCTGCAATGAGCTGTAAAATCATCACAGGTTACATGTGAGCTGCATTTTCAAAAGTAGCTGATTCAGTTTGGATTAAATCTGAGAGAGAGGCGAGAGAGGACAGCATGCGTTTGAGAAGATTAGAGAAAAGAGAAGGCAAAAGGAGAAGATGACGAACAGAGAGAACATGAACATGAGCGAGAAGAGAGGAGACAGAAACGGGAAAGAGGAAAAAAAAAAGGCAAGACAGAGAGCTTGGATGAAATGTGTAAAAGAACAAAAGTGTGAGAGAGATGAAGAGACCATCACATGTTGCAGACAGAGAGAGAGAGAGAGAGAGAGATTTAAAATGGCTGAGTGAGCGAGCATGACGAAAACGAGTCCAAATCTTCAAAGTAGATTAGCGAGACTGAAGCGAGATTTTTTTCATTAGCCGAGCGTGTGCGTGTGTTTGCATTCAAGATCTCAGAGCAACAACACGGCGAGCTCAGAGCGACGTCAACACACCCGACCCTGTTCAATCCCATCATGCAACTGGTGCATCTTTTCATCTCTGCCTGGACAGTTATGTTCAGGCAGAGATGTCCCCCCCCCCACAAACAGCACGTTCCTGATTTGTTTAACCCGCCCCGCGTTAAATGTTTATCGCCGCCCTGCCAATGAGGCGTCCCACATGAATTTAAATGAGATTTCAGATGGAATTTAAATTGGCTCGAGTCGATCGGGATGAGCTGGATGGCAGAGAGTGAGAAGCCGAGTGCAGAAAGATGAAGAGTGAACGATAACCGCAGCCAATGGGAGGGGGGAGGGTGAGAGAGGGAGAGAGAAAGAGAGAGAGAGTCTCTGTTCTAATACAGATGATGATGATAATGATGATGTGATTGGTTTAAGCTAAATGACTGATTGTTTTTATACGGGCTGATTATTAGGTGTCATGTTGATGAGGCTGAATGTTTTGTCTTCACACAGAGTCACGAGAGACCAGTTATCAGGTCAAACCAACAGGTGTTGCAGCGATGGAAGCGGACAAGAGAACTGGTTCAGATAGAAGTGATTGTACCCGACCTAAAAAGCCTCTTCATGTTTCTAATAAGCTCCACGAGCAGAAACGTGCTCAAACTAGGATCAATATTGGAGATGCTTTTGAAAAATGGAGAGAGGTTAGAACACAGAAAGATTTACAGATCGATGCAGAGCTGGATAAACACTGAAGCTTCAGAATCCACCACATGGTGACCTGTGTGAGCATCGACTCTAGAGAGGAGGGGGGGGGGAGACAGCTCTCTACAATGTTTAGAATTTGACTGCAGTACCCATCTTAAACACTAGGGGTCAGAGTTACATATTGCTCCTTTAAAAGAGTCAATCTCATAGTACAA